TTTGAAGGTATGAGAAAAAATATTTTTATTTAATTAAACAAATAAAAGAGAGGGAAATGAAATTTCAAACCAAATCTAATCTTAAATTGTAGGTGTAAGAGGGACCAATACATATAATAAGATGCTATATGGAACTAAAAAAAACAGGTATACTAATTAAGATGATATACTTCCACTTATATATTCTACTTTTTTTTCAAATTTTTCTTTAAGATAGAATATCTATATAAATACGTTTAATGAATCAACAATAAATATTCATTAAGCTATTTTAGAAATTTAAAAAACAGTCCTACTTTCTAATTTCTAAAATGCAAGAAAACAAAACATGGGGTTAGACTTAGACTGGACATGAAATTGCAGATGAACAAATTCCTCTCTCGGTCAAAAACAGACACTGGACTGGCGAAAAAACAGAAAATAAGAATCTAAACTAACTAACTAACAAAAAGATTAAGATCATACTATATATATAGGATTAGTGTTTATTTGACTTATTTTTTAAATATTAAAAGAAAAATCATCTCTCGTTTCACTATTCTTTAGGAGGTAATTAGGCAGATAGCATTATTCTCATGTGTATATATATATATTTCAAAAAAATAAAGAAATGCAGGCCTCCATTGCGAACTTACTTTACGGCGGATGATGAAATCCTCTTCCTGCTCCATGAAAAACGAATTGAACTTCTCGATCTCATTGTTCAACAAGTACACAAAATCCGCCTCCACCTTCCCGTACTCACTTGATCCATTCAACACTGCCGGTGCCGAAGAAATCAAACGGACAAGCTTCTTCAGCTCTTTGTAGGACAGAAATTTGTCTCGCCAGGCCGGTAAAGTCTCCTGAATCTGCTGCTTCAGTCTCTTCCCGAACTTCATTCTCAAGGATTACCGGTACTGGCACTCGGAATTGGAAAATCTGGCTTGGGAATTGGGAGGGGTTAAAAAAGGGTGAAGAAAGGGCAGTTTTATTGGGGGGAGGTTAGGTTAGTCGAATATGAAGGAGCATATGCTTGGCGTGAAATGAAGCGATGGACATATATAAGAGGAATATATGACTCGTTGAAGTAAAAGAATTCCAGAGCATATTCTGGTGCTATTACTATTCTAGTATATAGTCATAACTAGATTAAGACCAATGCCATACCTAAAAGGAAAAATATGGCTTTATACCATAAGGACTGTTGTGAAGTAGATGTTGGGATGGGCATATTCTGGTGCTACCACTATACTTGTATTTAGTCATAACTCATAATTAAGACCACCGCCATAACCTAAAAGGAAAATATGGCTTTATACCATAAGGACTGTTATGAAGTAGATGTTGGGATGGGCATATGCTGGTTTTTTTGGTACTAACCCCCCATTTGGGGAAACTCTCTTAACGCTTATTTCTCCATTCACAAAATTCAAACTCGATATCTTACTTAAGGAAACCAAACTCCTTCCACTCAAACCAATAGGTCATCGGTCTAGGCATATGCTGGTGCTACTACTATACTTGTATTAAGTCATAACTCATAATTAAGACCAATGCTATACCAAAAAGGAAAATTTGGGTTTATACCATGAGGATTTCAGTGACTAAATATGCTGGGATGGGCATATTCTGGTGCTTGTACTATACTTGTATATAGTCATAACTCATAATTAAGACCACTGCCATAACCTAAAAGGAAAATATGGCTTTATACCATAAGGACCACAGTGACTAAATATGCTGGAATGGGCATATTCTGGTGCTTGTACTATCTTAGTATATAGTCATAACTTATAATTAAGACCAATGCCATACCTAGAAGGAAAAATATGGCTTTATACCATAAGGACTGTAGTGAACTAAATGTTGGGGATGGGGGAAAGTATGAGGGATTGAAACCAAGGTTAAAGTAAAAATATATATGGTTAAAATATTAATTTGGTCCTTTAATTCTTAAGTTTGTACCAAAATTGTTCTTTAACTTCAAAAAGTATTAAACTTGCCCCTGAATTATAATTTTCGATATCAAAATAGTCTTTGAATTTTAAAGATAAGTAGTATCAACTTAATTTTTAAATTTTGATTACAAATATCAATTTGGTTTTTTTAACTTTAATTATATATGAATCTGATGAATAAATGAAAATCTATCATAATAACAAAATATGGTTGTTTGATTGTATACGTCATTAGTATTTAAAAAAAATTAATTTTGTGACAAGATAACAAATTATATGAAATTTCTACTAATGAAAAAAATATTTTAGTATTGAAAATTAAAGTTCATGATAATTTTAGTATTTTTTGAAGTTGAAAAATAATTTCAATATAAATTTAAAAGTTGAGAGATTTAATTGATATTTTAATAAAAAAAATATTTGCTTTTCTTAAAATATAAAAAATAATAATTAATTTAAAACAAATTTTAAACAAAAAAAATCTATTATTTTGAAATAAAAATAGTACATGTCCATAAGATTAAGCTTAGGTTTGTTAATCCAGAGTCAGATTCTGAATTTCAATTCAACAAAGACAACTTGTGGATGACAAAAATTCAAAATTTTATTTAAATTTTATGCAGTTCTGTTTATTTCTTCTAGATTTTTCATGAACAAGTGGTCACTACCCCCATTATGGATTGGTTGCTGAGTTGATAGGTGGTGTGATGCGTGAGTGATCGACATCCTGGTGACGGTATGGTGGGTGGGTTTATACTTTATAGGGTAGATGAGATTTCTGGAGAAGGGATGATTATGAAGAGATTCGAATCTTCTGCAGTAATAGAACTAGGACACTGGAATTACCAAAATGTGACATTGTCTTGGGAGAATACACTATACGGGAATATGCTACCATTGATGTCAAGTCAAGTGGATCTTGCTTCTAGGAATGGGTCATACAGCCACTTTTCCATGCAACGCCACGGAAGGTCCCTTTCATTGTTTAACTGGTTTTGGGTTGTTGTTTTCGTTGGTAACTTGAAGGTTTTTGTATTTTTTCGTTTTTTGTTTTTTTGAGATTGGGAAATCATTATTCTTCATTTTTTCTTATGCAATTAACAGGGAAAGGACATATTA